AACCAACCACAGTAAAATGTAACTGTAGAAGGTAAAAAGACGGGCAATCTGATTGGGAAAGGTCAGAGGGGCAAATAAAAGTCAATAAACTAGTAGAGATGTTTTTCAAAGGGGCTATTTTTAATGTATATATAATTTAAAAATTAATTTATTATGCTTGTCTGTAATAATGGATAGCAAAATAACTTACTACAATTTCTTTGTCTTCGTATAAAAGTGAGCGATTAAGTAAAAATTCACAAAATTGTAATCAGTTTCTATGAAGTACGTTATATCAGATGAAAATCCCTCCAACACCTTGACATTCCACCGTGCGTCACCATAGAAAAATACACCTTTTCTACTTAAAAACCTTACACATGATTTAAAATCGCTAGAAAAACTCGAAACTCGACGCGCATACAGAATAAATAGTTAATCTGCAAATCTACTGACCGTTGTAGAAGATCGGCTACTGCTTTTTACGACAACCGCATTCCCTGACACAGTGAACTCTCTGCATGAATAAAACAAACATCGTTGCGGATAATTGCCGGTCTGACGTAAGGTGGCGCCTGGGTGAACGTCGCGCCGGCGTCCCGACCGCGCTGTGATAACCGCCGCCGTATCACGAGGACCCTCCTCCCCGCTCCACCAACGTACGCTACAACAGTCGCGAAACTTCTCGCACGAGTTTAGACGTAAAAGAGATGGGATGATGAGGAAAACTTACCTCATTGAAGATTCGTATTGGCCAATTTCAGAACACTGTGAGTTTTTGTTTGGTAAAAACTCAAAATTGAGTCAAATTAAAATGTTGTACCACTTTGAATTTCCAACATGGACCGCCCAATATTATTTACCTCTCTCAAATCCCCATAATGTACCACACACTCGCACAGTATGTTTGACCCCTCCAAAACCCCTAACATGTACAACACAGTATGTTTGACCCCTCCAAAACCCCCAATATGTACCGCACAGTATGTTTCATCCCTCCTAAACCCCTTACATGTACAGCACAGTATGCTTGACCCCTCCAAAACCCCCAACATGTACAGCACAGTATATTTTACCCCTCCAAACCCCCTAACATGTACCGCACAGTATGTTTGACCCCTCCCAAATCCCCATAATGTGCCGCACAGTATGTTTGACCCCTCCAAAACCACCAACATGTAAAGCGCGGTATGTTTGATCCCTTCAAAACTCCCAACATGTACCGCACAGTATGTTTGACCCCTCCAAGACCACCAACATGTAAAGCGCAGTATGTTTGACCCCTCCCAAATCCCCATAATGTACCGCACAGTATGTTTGACCCCTCCAAAACCACCAACATGTAAAGCGCAGTATGTTTGACCCCTTCAAAACCCCAACATGTACAGCACAGTATATTTTACCCCTCCAAAATCCCTAACATGTACCGCACAGTATGTTTGATCCCTTCAAAACTCCCAACATGTACCGCACAGTATGTTTGACCCCTCTCAAACCCCCAACACAGCACAGTATGTTTGACCCCTCCAAAACCCCAACATGTACAGCACAGTATGTTTGACCCCTCCCAAATCCCCAATATGTACCGCACAGTATGTTTCATCCCTCCTAAACCCCCCTTACATGTACAGCACAGTATGTTTGACCCCTCCAAAACCCCAAACATGTATAGCACATTATGTTTGACCTCTCCAAAACTCCCAACATGTACCGCACAGTATGTTTTACCCCTCCCAAATCCCCATAATGTACCGCACAGTATGTTTGACCCCTCCAAAACCACCAACATGTAAAGCGCAGTATGTTTGACCCCTTCAAAACCCCAACATGTACAGCACAGTATATTTCACAACTCCAAAACCTCTAACATGTACCGCACAGTATGTTTGACGCGTCTGAAACCCCCAACATGTACCGCACAGTATGATTGACCTCTCTCAAATCCTTAACATGTACAGCACAGTATGATTGACCCCTCCCAAACCCCCAACATGTACCGCACAGTATGATTGACCCCTCCCAAACCCCCAACATGTACCGCACAGTATGTTTGACCTCTCCCAAATCCCTAACATGTACCGCACAGTATGTTTGACCCCTCCCAAACCCCAAACATGTACCGCACAGTATGTTTGACCTCTCCCAAATCCCTCGCCTCCACGCCATGTAGGATCAGATCCCAGTGACAGCGGGAGTGTAGTCTTTGTCTCTACATCACATTGTGTGGAAATGTGCAGCGGCGCCTCCCTACATTCAATCGCGACTTGTAATTTCAATAAACACACTCGCTTTGCACGCTACACGCTTCAGACTAAACGTCGCGAGGTTGTCGAGTATGTGTTCCAATAAAAACACGAGTGCGGTACACGATGTGCTGCTTTTGAACGTGTCGCGGTAGAATAAATAGTTTTATGGACTAGCGGTTGTTTATATTGTCTCTATACTGTATGTATAGGGGTATGTATACTGTATGTCGAACAATGAGATACATAATAATCTTGATTATTTAATTTATTGAAAAATCCAGCGTCTAAACGTTTTCAAAATAAAACGACTAAAAGATTTATCAAACTTTGTTCATGACGGATATCAACCTGTAGTACTGTCATAAATTTTGGGGTTTTTTAATTGGAAAGTGTCCATTCAAAACTGCTCTTCAGCTAACTGTTCTATAATATGGTATTTGGGCTGGAGATAGAATTATTTTCAATCTGTAACAACATAAACCACAGATATTAACCTGGGATGGTGTTAAATGCATATGAAAAGATATTCTCAGTTGTATATTTGCTTTAGCTTTTCCCTGTGTGATATAAAGACTCGTCTAGCTTGTTTATCAATCCTTTGCAATGTATAGACTAATTAATACGTCCAGATCGTTCATCACGATCCCCTCAACAATTAGCAGTTTTGACCTTCAGACAAATGTCAATGGAAGGACAATGAGTTAGATGTCTCGGTTGGCGTTCACATTGTCCTCCGTGACTCTATAGTCAATGTATAACTGAAATTAAATATCTGAGAAAACACTATAAACTGTTACAAACTTGTGGGTCGAGTATTGGACATACAACATAGATACGTCATCCTTATTGATCGGCTATTTTCGTATATATTTCCGTTCAATTTGATGAGTGCATTTTGATCATAACGTGTATAAAGTCATCTAATTCATACAACGTAATAAACTATTTGTGAAATACCTTAACTTGTTTTTTGTGTATCCAACTCATTAAACAACAATTTCTTAAGAACTACCTTTGTTTTTCCTACGCATTCAAAGCTCATTCTAAAATACTGTAATATCCTTGGATGCTTGGATCTGATTAAACTTTATAATGATAGTTGATTACATGTTACATCAAAACGGTATAATCCTTAAAACAGCTTTGTCAGGTACTAATGCATAGTTTATAATCTCTCAATGGCCCACTATTAATTGTCAAACAATATATTACGTATTATCTTGGAACTTGAAGAAACTGATTATACATCAATGTTTACACGCGCCATTGCTCGCAGGATTAACTTAGGTACAGATGTTCTATTTAAGCTAAAATCTGTTACATTAGATGGGATATCTACCTTGGTGTCTAAAATTCAATGCTAACATTCTGGTATACAATTGAAACGAAGATGTTATTCAATATTTAGCACGAATCAAAATAAACCATATCAACGTTTACAGTGGTGCAACCAAGGTCTCGGAATACATTGCTACCTGACCTGACCAAGAGTTATTTCTTCCTGGTTGACTATAAGCTGAACCACAGCGGTTTTGCACTCACTAAGTTCCTAGGAAGGAAGCGGAAGGGGTTTGTGACGTCATATCAGCTGATTCTCCGACAATTAAACAGCTGATGCCGTAATTCATTAGTAAGCGGCAATTCGTTTCTGGGGCACGCCGCGCCGTGAAGTCATTCGGCCTTCAGAATTCCTAAGACGAGCATAATAAATTCCGCAGACGCTTTAAGGAAAACGTATCATCTAGGCTGAAAGTGAAAATAGCAAGGAGGCTTTTTGAGATACAGCCATCGAAGTATATAACATAACTTATAAGTTGTGTTACTTCGATGGATACAGATTTCTGAAATCTTTATTTTGATGTTTGATACTCATCATTGGATTCTATAATTTGAGGTTGAACTCGTCATCACCGCGAGTTTCACAAACTGGTAGCTGGGTTTGTTTGGCAACAGTCAGAATAACTTTGTGCTTTAACGCTACTATAGAAAACGTGTGATGTTATCACCTTATTGCCTTTTACTGCGATTGAGTGGATGATGGCAACGCACGAAAGATAAGACATACATTTTATTTCATTTATATGCTATGCATTTTATTACATCTGTTTTAGGATAATCATCTACATTCCATTGGGTGATCGTTGTACCATATAAGTAAAAAAGGGTGATAGCATATTTTCAAATTAAAATTTTGATATTTTCTGATACCAAGATTCTGAATAAAGAGGGTCTCTTCAAGTCTGAGATTAGGTATAATCTACTTGATTAAAATGTCTTTTGCTGTTATGCTAGAGTTGTCAAGAGGAATGTTATGTGCTTCTTTACTGATAACCAATGTAAATAAGTGCTTACGTCACGGTTTTGTATAAGGAGGTGCTGTTTTTGCACTGATAAGCCTCAGTGACACAACAGTCAACAGAAAATTATGTCAAAAGATAAAAATAATAAGAAATAAAGACTTCTGGTTAAAGTTGAATGAGCTTGGGGAAACTATCGATCCGGCGGCGATCTGGTGACTAACATTGACATCTTTAGTTCTTGTTTGAATCCCTTTATCAAAATCCAACAAATTGCCAGCGTTAAATAGTAAGAAGGCCAGGGCTGGACCGTCCCTTTAAATAAAACGTGAAAAGATTCCAGGAGAGAAAATTAATTAAACCCTCTTATATTTTATACACTCATGTTTCAACCGTATATTTTCCATTGGCCATAGTTCAACAGTGTCAACCCTCCAGTCTTGTTTATCAAACTTCAAGAATGCTAAATTTGTTTCAGAATGTCAGTTTGGAAAGACTCTGAAGGAACTTGGTTCAACATGGTTTGCAGATTTGGGACCTCCATTCGGCGTCATGTACTGCATCCGATGCGAGTGTGTTCCGGTAAGTTTTTGGCCTAGGTTTCAAATAAAAATCTTGTTTTAATTCATGTCATTAGATGCAACCTTATCGAGGAGATTAAGATTGTCTTATTATAGTAAATTGAGGAGTGCTGTAAAGTTGACTTTCCATTCAAGTCTAGTATTTTATGCAAATTTAACTTTGACAAATCATTCGCACGACCCCCACTAGATTTTACAGAAATTGTTGTTGTATAATGTTGTTACCATGAGCAAGAATGACAATCCGTTCCATATAAGCTTTAAACCACTTCTATCCTCTGAGCCTCATCCCTCAGTAAACCAGGATACTTCAGATTTCTTTTTGACGGTATTATTATATTATACAAAGGTTGATCACAAAAACACGGCAGCTTTAGGTTCAAGATCAATCTTCAGAAGTTTGCCTGTTCAATCTTGAGGAAAAATAGTAATTTCTTGACGGCTCAAAACTGGACCCAGCTGTCCTTGATCATTGCAGGTCTTCTAGTAAATGGTCCTGGCTAAAAGAAACAGCTCATCTAATTAACTTAGCTATCACTTCATTCTTTCAACGCTCGTCCTCCTCTCATCTCCTTACGGTACGCACCCTTCTCGGATTCACACAAATCTGGCAACTTAGAAATTTCCTATAATCTCATTGACTATCAAAGCACATTATGTAGTAACCACAGGTGGTTTTCATCTCCTGGCAATTTGTGAGAAGCACGACTCCCACTTGAAATATGCTTGATAATGATATCTCGCTACTGGTCGGCCAGTTGACAATGGACGCAGCTCGATGTTGTATAACAGTAGAGATTATTGCGACATCAGAGACTGGGCGATAGTGCCAGACTGTTTGGCTCCCGGTGGCGTGACTTCTAAATCCGGCCAGAGTCAAAACTTGCGAGGTGGTGTCTCGCGTGACGGCCCCGGGGCCCGACGGCCCTATGTTTCCATAGGAGGATGTGTAAATCCGCCCAATCTGCCGCGCTAAAGCACTTTCCATGCCTGAGTGGTTAACGTTTCCTTAAATTCTCATGAGCAAATGGTTGAGGGATTATCAGACTGTAACCACTAAAAAATGTGTATACACTGTGATCAGAATTTCTTGAACTATAGTCATGCCGTAGAATATCCTCTGTAGTAAAATGATCACTTGATACAACTATACAGTGTTTATTGAGCAAGAATGGGAAACAGTGATACTGGAACAGTAAAATGCGTTATTTTGTAGAAGGACAACAACATTTTGAATAGAGCTCATGAAGAAAAATTAAAACTGCTCCGAAAATGTTTTGATATGACCGATTATCCTGGAATTTGGAGTTACGTTGGTTCTTTTAGAACTTGGAACGGTGATTGTTTGGATTTACGTTGCATTTAAAGGAGTCCATATAACTAGGTATTCTTCGTTGTTATTATTTAAAGTGTGGGTAATAAATAGCGTGGCTTTGTGTGATGATCCAGCTTAAATCAAGAATCAGTCGTATCGAATCAAAGTCTTATGGAGTGTCCTTGAATGTGTACTTTCGGCTCTGGATTTGCAGCAAATTAATATGTAAACTGGTCCAAGTTTTAAAATCTATAAGACTGCATCTTCTCTGGAAAGTCGGTCGGGCGGATCGCCAGCCACGCCTGACATCACTCCTCCCTCAATTTATGTGTTTGTCTGGCGAATGAATGTGTTTATCCCATCGGGACATTTCTATTTCTATTCTGAGCGAAAGGACGTATCGTGAGTGGTCGCAATTGGGTTACGAACAGATAAAGATTAGACGCTGTGGTTCAACTGAATTGTCCCTCAACTTCATGTGAAGATTGAAAAGATTCATATAGATACTTTATTGGTTGTGTTTTAAAGTATTTTGACATCCACCGAAATTATGAGTGGATTTTGGATAGCCCTTGCCAGAGAAAAGGTCAATTTCCAAACTAATTTCAAGCTTGATCCCTGATATTTTGCTTGTTTGGCATAGGGCTCATTTTCTGAAATGAAAATCAGTTTTCCAGCAACATTTAATCTCTGAACTTTATTGTTCAGAAATGATCGATGGCATAATTATTCTCTGATGGGTTTCTTTTCAAATGAAAACCACCAGCACATTGGCATTTACACCAAAAATGTGCAAGTTAATAATCGAAAAGTCATCTACAAAACATGACAAATTAATTATATTGATATTTTAATATTTAATTATTATTATTATTATTATTAAGTATTATTTTACTTTGTTCCACTTCGTGGTCTAGAAGGCAAGACCTAGTTTCAGTATCGTTGTTCAAGAAAATCTGATTATTTTCATATAGGATAGTATAAATAAAATCCGTTCGTTGCTCTAAATCATGTCCCGCTGAGGATTGTGGTCATTAAATACAAGTCGAAGCAACGCTGCGCCACATTCAAGCGAATTCGAGCTGAACAATGAGGTTCACAAATATGAGAGGGCCATCCGTTGTCAAAATGTTGGCTCTAGTTTAAAAGGGGCTTGTCCAAAATCCCGTGTATCATGTTTCTAGTTGGTTAACTAAGTGACGACTGATGCTGGGAAAACTGACAATCTTATGTGGTTCAAAGATATCCTGCTATGTAAGTATTTTTTTGCGTCAGTGATTCGCCTAAGATTTCGTTAAAACGTAGTTGACACCTCAGAATAACAGCTTTTTTATTTCGATCTTATCTTTCTGCTAACTTTAATATTTGATAAGCTTGGGAATTGTCATAAGGCAGTTTGTCACCCCCTTCTTTCTTCGTCATATTGCATATTTTGCGAAGGACGAGTAGGCTCACAGCAAATTACTTCACTGATCAATAAATTCCAAAGCTCCACCACACAAGACAATTAATTTCCAAGAGTACATTTCCATCGAAACACGTGGCAGAGGCGGATCTCCAAAGACCTATGCCTCTTGCGCCCGAGACTGTCGGAAATAAAACGTGTCGTCAGAGCTAAAACTGTGTAGACAAGCATTTTGGCGCCCGGACTATTCCCAACGATGAGCGCATTTCGGAAAAGCGTCCAACAACCATTATCTTGCACTAGGGGGTTGTTTTCTTACCGACCCGCCAAATCAGCGCTCTTCTCTGCCAACTGTCCCATGTTAATGTTGTGCACAAACCATTTAAATGAGGCCTTTAAATAAATAGTGAGTCTGGTTGCTTAAGAGTTAAGAAGTGTTGGACGATCATTTAAAATAATCTGGCCTGGGATTTAAAAACTTCCGTGTCACTTGGACATACCATTTAATCATAAATTACACAAAATTCTGTATATACTGCCAACTCTGATAAACCCCATGTTACCATCAGAAGTTTAACCGCTCATTATGTCCATTGTACGGTACCATAATCTTCTCTGGCTTCTAGAACTAAACCCATTTAATTCCTAAAACGTTACATGCATTGTTCTGGTGATGCTATTTTCATGTTTATCTGCCATATTTTGGCACATACCTGTTGTGTTGATTGTAAAACTCGTCCAGTTGCTTTTACAAGGGACCGTTGCATTTACCAATCTTTTTCAACGGATCTTGCATCACAAAATTTTCCTCCGGACTATCACTATCCAAATGATACTTTAAATTACAAGTTTTATAATCCTGTAGACTATTATTACCCGAATGACTCTTTAAAACTAAAGGGTTCAAATCCCCTATATTGAATACACCCACATACCCAAGACTTGAGCCTGAGCTGTGTATCAGGATACGCCAGGATACTGCCAGCTGCCGCCAAAACACTTGGTTATCGCGGATTGGTGTAACTAGCAGACCAAGGCCGGCAGACAGTTAAATATAGCAATCACGGTGGCTCATTTGATTAATCAGCTTCGTTACCATAGTAACGGCCTCAGATAAATATCTCGGCGATTGTGGTTCATTGTTATCCGCGTGGCGGCGTCTCGCCGACGGCGCATAGGCGCTAACATATCCGCTGTGAGTTGTAGGACACCTTGGTACTAGCATATCTGCTGTGAATTGTTGGGTACCTTGGTACGGGCATATCTGCTGTGAGTTGTAGGACACCTTGGTACTAGCATATCTGCTGTGAGTTGTTGGGTACCTTGGTACGGGTATATGCGCTGTGAGTTGTTTGGTACCTTGGTACGGGCATATCTGCTATGAGTTGTTGGGTACCTTGTACGGGCATGCATATCCGCTGTGAGTTGTAGGACACATTGGTACTAGGATATCTGCTGTGAGTTGTTGGGTACCTTGGTACGGGCATATCCGCTGTGAGTTGTAGGACACATTGGTACTAGGATATCTGCTGTGAGTTGTTGGGTAACTTGGGACGGGCATATCCGCTGTGAGTTGTAGGACACATTGGTACTAGGATAACTGCTGTGAGTTGTTGGGTACCTTGGTACGGGTATATCCACTGTAAGTTGTTGGGAACCTTGGTACGGGCATGCATATCCGCTGTGAGTTGTAGGACACATTGACACTAGCATATCTGCTGAGAGCTGTTGGGTACCTTGGTACGGGTATATCCACTGTGAGTTGTTTGGTACCTTGGTACGGGCATATCTGCTGTGAGTTGTTTGGTACCTTGGTACGGGCATATCTGCTGTGAGTTGTAGGACACCTTGGTACTAGCATATCTGCTGTGCGTTGTTGGGTACCTTGGTACGGGCATATCCGCTGTGAGTTGTAGGACACATTGGTACTAGGATAACTGCTGTGAGTTTTTGGGTACCTTGGTACGGGTATATCCACTGTAAGTTGTTGGGAACCTCGGTACGGGCATGCATATCCGCTGTGAGTTGTAGGACACATTGGCACTAGCATATCTGCTGAGAGCTGTTGGGTACCTTGGTACGGGTATATCCACTGTGAGTTGTTTGGTACCTTGGTACGGGCATATCCACTATGAGTTGTTGGGTACCTTGGTACGGGCATATCCGCTGTGAGTTGTAGGATATCTTGAAGTTGAAGCTAGCATATCTGGTGTAAGTTGTTGGATACATTGGAGCTATCCGGTGTCAGTTTTTGGATACCTAGGAGCTATCCGCTGTGTGTTTTAGGACATATATCATACCTAGCACATCCGCAATAAGTTTTAGGATACTTTGAAGCTAGCATACTGGCTGTGAGCTGATTTGATGACTTATACTAAATGTTATCATTAGGTCCAAGATTGATGTATTTATTTTTTTCTTGTTTACTTGATAGTTGAAAAACCTCCATGGATGTCGATAACAGATACAACACATAGTCTACACACACATGTGTTTGAGTGACACAATCATCGTAAGTTTGAAAACACGCACTTAATTCAGTCGTGTGAATCTGTAAATTTATAAATGGGGTCCCTAACAATCCCAAAGGCACGTAAAATGCCACCCCTCACGAGAATTAAATCTAACCTAATTGATACGCGAAACAAATCGGCAAAGTCAACATCTTTGCAATAAATATGTAATGTTTGTCCCGATTAAAAAGTGGCGACAGTTCGCTTAAAGAAACTCAGTGCCAACCGTTTAATGAAAGCCGCCACGCCACACCAATCTTGGTGAGCAATGCTCAATTGTTGTTGGTGTCTCACTCTGGAAATTAAATACCTTCTCGCCACCCGAGTAGTTGAGTGTTCGAACATAAGCGTAATGTCGGATATCATCGGTTTACGCTACAATTTTGTTGATCAATTTGGGGTTGATTACCAGTACAGTATGGCAATCTTTAGAACTTATTCTCAATGCAATTATCCTTCCCGCGATGTTTCAGCGATATGCTTGAAATTTAACATATTTTTCTATATTTTTTATTAAAAGATGTTTGAACTTTTATTTAAAATCTTAGGATAATTTCCACGCTGGAAGCTACGATTTTTACGTTATTTTGAGGGGACGGACTAAAACCTGAATTATCAATACTATCTCATTACCTCTCTATTTACCTCAAGACTATAGATTCTTCAATTCCTATAGCTATGGTGAGATTTTGTGAAATTGACATTTTTTCAACCGTTAATAATGATAATCATTTGAGATTACTGTTGTGATCTATACTTAGCAAGTCAATAGAAATTGTATAAAATAAGGTCTAGATACCCGCTACTGTATAGGCGCTCCCGCACAGAGCACAGAGCGTGGAAGCATTGATGGACAAGACAGTTTATCGCCAACCATTAATTTGTCTCAGACGGCGGTTTCGAGACCGGAACCCCAAATATCAAGTTATGATCGAGAGATGGAAATGTCATTCAGTGAGCCCGATATAAGGTGTGTGAAAATAGATGGCGGGCGGGTAGATCTATATAAAGTAGCGGCTAGGAGGGGATCTGGCATCACCTCTGTCTGTACTCCCTCGCCCCCCTTGTGGTCCCCTGCAGAACATCCACTGAGTGATAGCTCTCATCGCTCGGTCTTTGACCTTATTGTGTTTCAAATGTGTCACTTTGTATGCGCACTTAAGTTCGTCAAGTCATGCATAGATGATATTTTTGAACATTGTGTATCTCGCCCTGCATTTACGAGTGCCATGCGTCTTTTGTTGGCAGATTTATCTTTTTAAAGCAATAAAAAAGAATATACTATATAAGAAGTAGAATATATTATTAACAATATCCAAATACAAGTTTTAATGCCGTTGTTTTTAAGTCTTGAAGACTTCACGACGTGATGGTCACGTTTCAATGAATGAAGATCCCAATGGGATTGTGCGATGACTTTGTTCTCTTCACCTTTGTTTTGATTTTGCACTGGTAATAGGTATATTGTATTTCATACTCCAAGGGCGTAGTTTATCCATTTAATTGAATTTCGAGCCTGGATGATACCTTTTCACACAGACCAGAAATAATAGATACGATACCAAACCAGAAGAACGAATGACAAGTCCTGGTCTTCGGAGATAGCAGCGTCCTTGGTCGGCGTAAACTTTTGCAGTTTGCTTTGCCGGTGAAATACTTCCTATACTTCTGAAGCAGCACCGAAACCCTTGACTAACCTTGTTTCTTGTCCAGTTGGACTACATGACGGTTATTTTGTTGCAGTATCATCGCAAGCGGCGGGTCGTGGGCAAGGTCCACTGCCGTAACATCAAGCACGAGTGTCCCAAGCCCTCGTGTGACGAGCCAGTCCTGCTGCCAGGGCGTTGCTGTAAAGTTTGCCCAGGAGACAACGACAGTAAGTACATGGCCTTCTAGATTGTAATATAGTTGCAAGTTCTCTTCAGCAGACTCTACCATAAAAGTCAAAATAATGTTTACAAAATGAACTAGTCGAGTAGGATCTATACTTAAACCTTTTGGAAACAACGATATGTTCAAAATTTCGTGTTCTGCGATGAACTACAAAAGTCCAGAGGATTTGAAATACCCTGTAAAAATTTCGTGAAAGAAACTGGGGGTTTCCTTGCGAAGCTTGTGTCTTATCACTCTTGACATAGATTTTTTGGTTTTTGGTTTCTGGGTAAATCATATAACTTTGGTTTAGTCTCCACCTTGTATGTAGGCAGCCGTTTCGATTCTGGGCTTTTTGTTAGTAGCCGACTTAGTCGTTTGACGGTTCGTATGGTTGGACCTACTGTACCTTTTCTTTGATCATTAGACTTTTTTAAATAACCTCGGAAAAACTGGCCCAAAATCAACAACAAAGCTACAAACGGCTTCTTACTCCATTCAACAATTATCTTTTACTTGTGTTTAAGTAATACCTTTGTAATACGCAGCACTGTATCCTTGACTCGATGTGATTATAGGATATGTTCAGTGTCTGAAGAACTCATTAATTTATTTTGCTTTTCACGCATCTTGCAATTCCTTTAATTTTTCCTTCTCGTGATTCCTTCAAACACTGATTTGCCGCCAAAAGGCCAGACGGGCGGTGGCGCGCGACGGCGGGAGGGGAGCCGCGTAAACGTGCCCGGAACCCGGAGTCGCGGATGGTTGCACCCGCGCTTTCCCCGCGCCGTGCCAGTCTGTCCGACCGTCTGCCGCCACCGTCGCTCTCCTTGCATCAGCCTCCCTGACCGTGGTACATCGAGAGTTTCCATTGACAACTGACACTTTCACATCGTTCAACACATTCGATGAAATGGATAAATGCTGCAATATAGGGGTTTCTCCAATTCAGTTTGTGTATTTTTTTTCTGAATTTAATTTTAGTTGGTCAATCGTATTCAATTATAACAAAAGTAAATCGTTAAAATCAAATTTCTACTAAGGAGCGGCTAATCTAGAGTAATAGCTTAATCGGGTGTCTTGCTAGTCTAGTAATCATCGTCTCAAATTTCGGTGTGATAGGGACGGATTCGGATTCAATCCTAAGCACATTCAACAAAATCAAGAGTTTGGACAAATTTCCCTTGAAAGCGTTTGTAATTTCCTTCATTCCAAATAGTTCTAGTTTAGGCACCAGCAAATAAAAAAGATTTCAGGACATCTGTCCTGAGGGGTCCAAGTTCAAATCCCACAAATTACTTTTAGCTACGTGATAATGCCGTAACAGGTGGTTCGGATCCCAACTGTGAGCTGATCAAGAAACCAAAAAGGATGAGTTTCTCAAAGGAGGAGAGCTTTGTCTGTTTGTTTTGAAATGTCAAGGGCAAGTTGTTAATTCGGCACTCTTTCGCACCTTTAGGCTACACTATCTGCATTGATGCAGCATACTCTATTCATAGTAAAATCCAAAATATCAATAAATTCATTTCGAATAATGTTGTAAAATTAATTATTATTTAATATCCTACAGAAATTACGCAGCATCTTTTGTTTTCTAAAACGTATCTTGGATAACGGCTTACGCTCCATGGTTGTTAAACCCTATGTATTCTATTAAATTATGTACACCTCTTTTCTCAATTTACCAATTAAGCCCAATGCACTGAGCACGAAGTGATTTTGCATTTTAATACATATCAGAAGTGGCAGCAGGATAATTTATCGCTTCGATGAGGCGTTGGTTGGCAGCATTGCTAATTTTTAAGAGTCACTCGCCAGCTGATAACCACATTGTTGGTGACACGATTGGCAAGCATCCAACGCCCCTCCCCCCACGACGACGCGTCCTGTAGAATAGGAATAGCCTACACCGGAAACATGGAAGAAGTAAACACTGTTAAGACGAAGAAAAACAAACATCGCGCGGGAAAATAATCGCGGCATCCTGCTTATGGTGGATTATCCTGATTAATGTCTTGGCTTGAACAGATAGATAAAAATCGTCTAGAATAAGGTTAAGATTGAATCACCCATCACGAGGATGAGTTTTTGGTTGTATTTTCCAAATGACTTGTGTTATATGTTGTATATCATTTTGTTTGGCCTCAGTAAACGATATTAAAAATGCATACCGTATACAATCAAATTATTTAAATTATTTTTACCAAACGATATTGTATTTTTTTCTTTGACATATTGTTCAATACATATGCACTAGGTATAGTTACTTGTGGCTTGTGGCACTAGAAGTGGCAATTAAAATGGCACTTTGCTGCAAGTTAGAGAAATGTTTAGCATGAGCCTGAGCCACAAACATGAGTGTGGAAAGTTATGTGAGTGCATCAAAGGAACTTTGCACCCGCGTTACACATTATATTTTTCCTACAGTTACTATATAAGCATATAAATAATTAGTCTTTCAAACACTATACAACACATTTTTAGGTTAGGTTGAATCCAAGCATTGAAAAGAATTTAAAAAAGGCGGTGCCAGCTGATTGTAGTCATCAAATCTTAAGGATGTTGGTAAAATTATGGGTGCTGTCAACTTATTTTCAAGCGAACATACGTGCCTAACAAAACTACTCTGTTTTGTGTTGTTTGGTTGGAGTACTGGAGTGCGACAAAAGTAAAATGAGTGAGGCAAAAGTAAGTAAATGCGTCAATTACAGTAGTCACTTGGCATACTGTAAACAGTGCAAGGAAGCCCACTTTGTCAGGTAACTGTTGGAAAAGACTTACAATGTAAAATTAAAATATATTGCTTGTTGTTGTATTGTAAAAAAATATTAGATCAACAATTCGTTCGGTTTTATCAAAATACATTAATTAGAATTATTTTTTCAGGTCCAGATATTGTAGAGGAACAACCCCCTACAGCAGGCGTTGAAGAAGAGAAAAGTTTAAAACGTAAGTATATTTTGACATTATTTGAAAGTTTTATCATTTGAAACTAAAATACTATTATCAATAAACATTTGCTCTATACAAATTACAAAATATTATAAGACTCCTCAACCCCCCCCCCTTTTTTTGAATTTCTCAATTTACCTTTTCTAAGTATCCCTAGTGTCTATCCTTTGCGTTTGTTTTGATAAAATTTAGTAGCTTAGTAATTAAATACAAAATTTTGTCTTGTATTTGTTTCATAGTGACTTAACCTCACCATTTGGCTATTAAGAACTAACATAATACAGGATACAAACAGCTCCTGATATTCTTATTGCATTTATGAAACAATCCATCATTATTACTAGAGGTTAAAATACCTTAATCCGTCATGTGATCAAAGTCACTTTTGGACGGCAACCCGTTTCAACCCGACAAAGGCATAGTCGTAATAATTAAATATAAATATAATAATTTAAATTGTGATCAGGAGGCAAAACAACAAAAATAAGCCATCATAGTGCACAAGTGAAGAACTTAAAACTGTCATTATCATAGATAAAAAACATGTTCTTATCCCTTATATTATAATCACATCCTATCGCACTAAATACTTTAACAACCTTAAAAAATATAAGTGAAACTTCACATAGTAATGTGGTAACATACTGTTTTGTTTTGTCAGACTTTGCCGCAGTGCTGACGTCCAAGATGACACCGACACTGGAAGGAGCTCCAACGATTGCTGCAGACAGAACTGTCGACTACAAAGCCACTGGAAGATTCACCTTCCACAAACGCAACTTGTACTACTCCTTCTACACTTCCGTGAGACCTCGAGGAGTGCAGTTTGTGGATATGAGAGGGAACATCCTTGAGGAACAGGTACACCATGATATTAAAAAACGATGGGAGACAGTTTAGTAACTTTTGAGAAACAAACTCAATAATAGGCTTCTAGTAGAATTAGAGTAACCAATCTTGATCTTTGGGCTCGATAATAGGATTGTTGAACTAATGTAAATACTGGTATAGACAAATAATTGAATAAATATATAGACTGTCAATGAAGGTTCGGCGATGTGCTTCTAGGTGTGTAACTACATAGCACTCCTAGAGATGGATGCCGGAACATATGCTAACCGCAGCACTGCTGTCAGTCTATATCTATATAAATAAAATTAGAGTTTTGTCTGTACATTGCTTAGAATAATGAACTTTTTGGTTATTTTTACATTTCATAGGTCAGAGAAACCGAATCAAACCTTATCTCAATTTCTGTCTGTCTGTCTGTCTGTCTGTCTGTCTGTCTATCTGTCATTCTCTTGGTAACGCTAAAATACGCACTTTATTACAACTACTCCTCAATAACTATAGCACTGTCCCGCCTGAAACTTATTTTCCAAATACTATACATATATGAGATGGTTTTAGACGTATTTCATCGAATATGAGACAGTTAGATATTTAACAGTAAACCCTTGAAAATCAAGTTTTTGTCGATTTTTGACGTGGAATTTCTGGAAGCCCATGTTAACCTTATGAGAAATGAAATTATTGAATCTTAACAGCTGTTTCAATTAAACAAGTTGGTTCTGTTCTGTGATGTTCAATAGCATTAAAGTTACAAGGATTACCAACAGGGTGCAGCACTAGCACTATTATTTCTTTTACATTTATGACAACAGCTAATTTGCAACCTGGAGGCGAGTGAGCGTAGCGAACGAGCTAACCTGAAGGCAAGTGAGCGTAGCGAACGAGCTAACCTGAAGGAAAGTGAGCGCAGCGAACGAGCTCCAACATACAGGTGAGTGAGCGTAGCGAACGAACTTCAACCAGGACGTGATTGAGCCATGCAAACGAGATCAGATAGTAAAAATAAAAGTAAGCCTACCGTTATAGGATCGACCGGCAGACACAGAGGTAATTTAACCTTTTATTGATTGTCATACCGATCCGGAACAACAAAAAACAACATAAAATGAAGCTATGTATAATAGTTTGGCCAGCATATCTTAAAATATGCAAACCAACTGCTGTTCTTTATATAAGAAGGTTTCAACTGAATATTATAAGATCCCCGTGCGTAGAACGGGTACACAGCTAGTTTATTCTATTTGTCTATGATACTGGTCAATATTTTTGATACGTTGCAGTAATCCATCTCCAGGTCGAATTGTTCCAGGTTGATGGTTTGATGCGACTTATCGTAACATAATGTTAGCCAGTATTTTTGTCAGATCAGCAATGTGGCTAACAGGTGAGAAATAGTTTTTCGAAAACTTGGCTATTGGTTGGTTAAGGTCCTACCTAATATATAATGAGGATTTTATCAAATACCCAACTATCTAGACCCTATTCTGCTTCGCTTTGCTAGAACTATATCCGGCTCTTGTGTCTGTAGGTTCTCACGCCTCACAGTGCCTACCAGAATGACACAGACAAGGTATGTGGCGTTTGGCGGAGGATACCTCGAGAATACCGACGTCTCGTCCGGGAAGAGAGGCTGCAAGTCACATTGCTGTGGGAGAGAGCTGAACTAGCCATCACTGGACAGCTTTATAGGTAAATCTCTGAACATGCACTCGTCCTATAGCATTGCTCCTGTTCCTGTCAAGTGAAACACCAATTGGAATAAATTATGGGACACAATAATGAAGCTGTAATGGCATTAACTTTACAGTAATGGTGGATATGATAGTTTGGCAGTTACCTGAGCCACTTAGTGTTTACCACTTTGAACAGTTTTAGGGCACAATAATGTTGCTTCTATCTTTAGTAAATTGCAAGTCTAAATTTTACCTTTTTAAATTACAATTGAGTTAAATAGCCTTGGGTATATAAGCCAGGTATTGCTGGTCTTCAATGTTTCTACATCTTAAGACTATAGTCACAAATAGCTTGGTACATAAACCGGCCCACTAGTTCTAATTTTCTATATCATCTGTGGGCTAACTAATCTACAGGAGTTGTAAAATCGATTGAGTAAGGAAGGCATCACGATCAACATCACATTTTAAAAGGAGTAATTTTGAAACAATAATACTATAATTTGTCCTAAAAGGTATCGTACCCTGGCCACTGAGCTGTACAGTGCTCTACTGGAAGGTTCAAGCCCCAATGCAGCAGGAACAGCCATTGTCTCCGTGTCTACACAAGCTCCGTCCATCCACCTGACTCTTGTGTTCACGGGCGTGTTCGGGGCTGACGACACAGCAAACTCTCCCGTGACTGTGCGGCTGTACACCAACGGTGGCAAGGAGCGAGTGGTTCTTGAAGAGGTAACATAGCTTATTTGAATTTGAATATATCTGTGTGATAGTTATCTAATTAAATTAGTCAGTGTGTTTGTTTTCCAAAACACGATGTAAACATGGTAAATTTTATTTCAACTTTAAACAATAAACAATAAACAATAAACAATAAACAATAAACAATAAACAACCAACTTTTTTTCTAACTTAGATCTTTCTTCCTTAAAATACATACGGTATCAAGTTTCATAAAGATCAGTAAACAAATTTAAAGATGTTTATGTAAAAATCTAAATGGTAGATTTCTGGAAACATTTCTATTTCAATAATGATTTTCCATTTTTTTACACATTAAACCATTTCCTGGAGTTTGATGTTTACTTACAGGACTTTACTTAACTTTTAATACTTTTCAATGAAATGGTGCCCATAAAAAGTAGGTATTTTAAGCTTAGTATGAATGGAGATGAGTGGCGCGATCTTGTAGTCTTGTTAGTGACTAAGGCCGACATATTCCTTAAACACAGCTGTTAATTAATAGCCCATACAGCTAATGGCAACTAAGGGAACTACAGTTTATAGTGGAATCCAAACCACATTTTTGCCTTTGGTACACGAATTGGTCTAATTATCAGGATAGTACTGCGGATAGTCATAGTACTCACTATTGTCGGGACCACTTAAGTTTGCAGTTGGTGGCAGCCAATCACAAGACAAGGCTAGTGCAACATTGCCACATCGCCCGTTGACAACACTAATTAAAATATACTATGCAATATTTCAAATCAGCTGGTATTATTAGATTTGGCAACACCGCACGATTCTCATTGGTTTTTTAAAAATCATATGCTAAATAGGCTCCTCCCTCAACTGCAAACTTACGTCGACCCGACAATAGTGCGGATGTTAATCCACACCAGGGAGTATCATATCCACAGTGCATGCCTATAAATATCCACAATTCGTGACCTCCTCTAGTAGCTGGATTACAGGACGACACCACTGCCACAGTCTTAAGGGACACCCTGTAAGTTATTGTTATTAATTTGGTTGGACAATGATGTACAGTATTAAATTATAAATCAAATCTGGTATTCCTTTGTCACAGGTGGTTAGAGTTGAAAAACCATCGCCTGACATCAACGTCGTGGAAGTACGTTCTGCTGTAAGTAACCTCGATCTGAACCAGATGTCCAGACAACGGTTGAGTGTAACCATCTCTTCACGCTCAGGAGAATCAATATCTGGTGTCGTCCGCACTCGGGCCACTTGCGAACTGTTCCACGCACCACTGGCAGCGCCTCCTGAGAACGAAGACAAGTCCACCCAGACGACAGGCATGGCTTGGATGTACATCGACAAACTAGGAGCCTTGAGATACCACGTACGTCTGGACGGAGTGACACAGCCCGATGTCCTTGGATTAGGTATGTTTTATGCAGAATAGTTTACAATTACTTTGATAAATACTTCAAACTTAACTCAGTACTCTTTTGAAAATTTGGTCAGTTGCGTACCCTACGCAGGATGAATTTTCAGCAGGGAAAGGGAGTTGAGGTCACAGTACTTAATTTTTTTTTAATTTAGCTAAAACTGTCTTAACTAATTAGTTAAGATTTACGTTAAGTTAAGATTTACGGCTGTTTTTGTTTATCTTGCCTAAAAATTTAGTAGCCTAGTTTAGTTGTATCATAGATTAAACATACTGTATGTTTAATATATTGTTGTATTAAGAGCGAAGGAAGAAGGGATAGTAATAAACGGGCTTTCTGGTAACCATTTCTGCTTATCTTCTCTGTTGATGGTATTCGATACAGAGTGTTAAAGAGGTTAAACATGTTTTTAAGTAGGGTTAGGTGATTCTGCATATCACGCTAGCCGATCACGGGTTATTAACGTTTGGTTTTTATACTAAAGGTTCATTTTTAAGCCTGTTTTAGTTGTATTTTTTAAACCCTCTTATAAGTAGTTATGACTCGTCCTCAACTGGTAACCCTATGTATTCGCTATCAATATACTTGGCTTGCAAATTTATTTATCATAATACCTATATCCTCTTGCAAGATATAGCTTCCAGAAATGTTGTCTTATTTGTGCATTTGGACTAAATTCAGTTTTTGTACAACAGTGGTTGATCGCCGACTGGTTGAACTCGAAGATCTGACGCCTTCATTCCACAACGGATGGGCAAATGGAACGATCGACCAAATCAATACTCGCCACTTGGAACAGTTGTATAAGTATGTGTTTTTTTGTAAAAGTATGTTGTATAACTGAAGCTAGTTTAAGATTAGTTAGCTTTAATACTTTATGGCCTTTACCAGATATACTTGTCTTGTCTATACTTGTCATAGAGGCTATCAATACACATTACATGTTAAACTTACATGCTGTATTGCCTAAGGGTTTTATTTATAATTCATCTTTCAATGGCTGACATTTTGTTGCACTGCTTAGTTTGAAGTTCTGAAAGATACCGGTTGAAAAACATTGTCTTTTTATAGCATAAGTGTTGCACAAAGATTTTTGAGATAAATAAGTACAATACCTAGTTGTTTAACCCTTGCCTTGAATTGTTGAATAACCATTCACCCAATTCGTCGGACACAGCTGTTGCACAGTATTTAATCAACCTCTTATGATATTCCAACTTCAACCTTTCAATAAATACCATAAGGACCATTATTAAATTAGTGGGTTTGTCCCTCAGTGGTGAGCTGGCCATCAATGTTGCTACAACGACAACCCGAAGTCTGGCCAGAGGGCGACTCGCTCCTCGCCCCGTGGCCGATGCCCGAGACGCTCCTTCCCCCTCCCTGCTGGTGGCCACTGATAGTCTCCCCACTCCATCTAGTGGTCTTATCTGGGCTGCGGTTGACAATGAGTGTAACTTACACTATGAGGTAACTATGAAGTGAAACATAAACTTATAATGTATACAATAGTCTATTTTTTACATTTTGTGCCAAAACTTATTTCGTTGAAGATTTTGGGTTGAAAATTTATTTGTTACTACTTTATTCTACGACGATGTTTGAAAAAATCTATGTTTGAAAAAATCAACTAACACAATGCTACTAATATTTTAAAACTCAGCACATTTAAAAATAACCTTAAAAACAATATTTTTAGTTCACTAACAATTCAGAAAGTTGTTGATCAAATCTCAAGAGGTTATGCCATCATGGATCTCTTGGTTTTTAATAAAATAACTCGGGTTAAAGAGCCAGCTATGTACTTGTCGAGCCATCTCATTCATTCTAACATCATCCTTCACTCGTCTTCACTCATATTCGCCTTAAAATACACACCCTAGTGTGTCAATAAGGCCCGTACTACACTGTCCAATGTTTTATAAAAATGCATTTATAAAAGTTCTTTGACAAACATCTTTTAATCTTTGATAGGCCATCTATTATAAAATATGTTTAAAATATTATTTCTTTTATAAAATTTGACATGTTGGCATTGTCTTTTATAGAAGATAGACATCTTTTATAAAATACTAGTGCACCTCTTGCTCGAATTTGAGCAATTGCAAAGTATTACAAGTGTTTAATAGTTTGTTTAATATATTCGTTTAATATATACAAATAACAGTCATCATAATTTCCGATGACTTAAAAGAGTCAACTCAAAGATAATGTGATCAATCATTCCACTCCAGTTATCGAAACTGAAAACGAATGCTCTTTTGTGTATCATGCGTTTACTATGGAGCAGCTGTTTTAGTATGCAATTAATACAAATTATTTGTTTGTTTAAGTAAACAACATCATTTTTTTCATAAGAAATACATTGGGATGTTCATGGCCTGTAGGGCAACGCCCGAGGACTTGTATTACAGGAATTGGTGAAAGGGGGCCTCTACACAACTAATACTTAATTTTGACACATCGATTGTTTAAAAATCGGTCCATTATTAACGTAGGAGTAGTGTTTTGTAGAAATCGCCTCCAGGTATCTAACGTATATATAAGGATTTTACAGTGTAATGTGTCCTAAGCCAATCTTATACATTGCATTTCATACTGCCTGTAGAAATCTGTGTTTGGTAGCAATCCTACTTATTTTACCATAATTTCCTCCTTAGACAATCGGTAGATTCATAACTGTTTTTCTCCTAGGTTGTGCTGTCCGGGACTTGGTCGGAGGATCGCACCATGGGCCTCTACCTAGAAGACATCCCATTAGTTGCTCCCGGAGCTCCTGTCACCCGGAGACTTCTGGAGGAGTTTGCAGGAAACACAGTGGAGGGGTTTGTCCTGGGACTGACACCCACTGAGCTGACTCGTCTCGATACCGGAGTCGTCCACTTTGACATCAAGGACCTTCACACCACCAAGTCCCTACTGAAGGCACACTGGAGACAGGTTGGTGGTTTAATGAAGAACTTTTGCTGTTTATTAAAAGCTGTAAATTTTAGGAATAAGATGCCCAACATGAATGGTAGACTGCTTGGGTGGAAATGATGGGATATTTTAATATGTAAGTGATATTGATCTATTTTTAAAGCTCGCTGTAATGTATTTTGGCATATCTCTTGTGATATTTATTTATTTTCAAAAATATTGACAATGCCAATAATTTTCCCAGCTATGCTAAAACATTATTGTGACAGTATGAACTATTTTAATACATCGTGAGTGTTCAGAGAATCTATAATGTACGAATTGCCATTAGGTCTCCATTCCTCCGGCTTGTCTACCACATTACTCTGACAACAATGTTCCGCCAGTCAGCAACATAAACAGTGACGCCAACCTACCAGAGCAAACTAGCTGCTTCCACAGCGACAGTTTCCACGACGAGGGCGCCCAGTGGGTCAGCCGCTCCGAGCCTTGTACCATGTGTAACTGCCACCACGGTAGAGTGAAATGTGACCCTGTGGTCTGCCCAACGCTGCCGTGTACCAACCCCACACTACGGAATGGCCAGTGTTGTCCTACATGTGACAGTGAGTAGACATTCCCCTGATGTAATTGTTTTGTGACATTTTTTAGCTGAGTTAATTATTTTGCTCTAGTCATTCCATCTTTAATTACCCTCTTCCCTCTGGCCGACAATGACCTGTTGAATGAATTGACCACCTCATTACTTAAATTTACAAAAAATGTACATTTATAAATAGATTGTCAAGTTTTCTCAAAGCAAAGAGTTATAGATGGTCTTGGCAAAAGAATAGTGAAACTTAATCAGTAAGAAAAAGATCATCAAATTCATTCTACAGCTTAAAATGTGCTGCTAAGTGGCTTTGCTGTCTCAATTAATAATAAAGATAGTAAATGAAATGGTAATACAGATAACTGACACGGCTTATGTTTGTTTCTAGACTCAACGTTTGACTCAAGTAACATCTCGCAAGGGTGTTATCTTGCAGGACAGCTGCACGCCCCAGGTAGTTCCTGGCATCCCTACCTTCCACCCGCCGGCTTCGACACCTGCGCAGTGTGCCATTGCAATGTGAGTAGCAACTTAACAACGTTAGTGAGAAATGGCACAAAACATCAACATGAATTTAAATTAAAATCTTAATATCAATCACAAAGGCTGTGCCTAGGAAGTTCTCAATCCATCTGAATGATCTGCATTGTATAATAGAGATAGATGGATTGCTTAGTGGATATAGTGCTCACCTTTAGGAAGAAAGTTGACTGTATGATCCTAAAGATTTGTTTCAGTAATAATGTACCTTGTGCAACTCATTTAGCCGACAGAAAAACATTTGTTTAAAATCAGTAGTTTTCATTCATTTTAAGTTTCCAATAAATCTGTGTTATAAATCCATTAGTGATAAAATTATTTACTTACTAACGTAATAATCTACATCCCAAACAAATTAAGGTTAAAATTAAAAGCTTGTTTTATTGGCAACCAACAAAAAAGACCCTTCCTGAGCAAACTCCAGAGGATTTTCCATTCATACTAACTTTTTGTCCCCAGAGCTCATCACTGACAGTCAGGTGCATGAGAACAGTCTGTCCACCCCTAGACTGCGACGAGACAGTCGCGCTACGTCGCGTCGGCTGCTGTAAAACATGTCCTACGCCCTCCCCTGTCACAGTCCCACGTGACCCTGCGTACCTGGGAGACCAGCAGAGCTCCATCACCAGGTCCAAGGCAGATGTACTAGCAGCGGGTGGCTGCACCTACCCCGTGGGCCGACTGTTTGAGAACGGAGAAGAATGGCATCCAAGAGTTTTCTCCCACGGGGAAGTCAAATCCGTCAAGTGCCGTTGTAAAGTAAGTTTCAGAGTGATTGTATTCCTGCATATCTGACAGCTATCTTCTTTCTGCCTTTGCACATTTGGCTCGTGGGCAGTCCCTATTCTCAATATTGTTTGTTGTTACTAATGTGTTTTTACTAGCAACTAGAATCACGCACAGGCAAAAGCCTACGTGATAATTTTTATTTTTTATATTCTAATTCTGCTACTGTATCACTATGCAATAAAGATTGTTTTGATTTGATTAGAAGATATATTGTGAGAATACTATAACATCATTATTTATAAATTAAAATAAATACTATTCTTTGAAGGTTTTGTGGAACCACTGACTTTTGGATACTAAAGTAGACGTTCCATACTTTGTGATCAATATAGACCATCTGTATCTAATTGCTGCTCAGATAGAACATGTTAGCATTTGTAGATTGTGCTACTGTCTTGAATCTATTTGCTACATTAGTTTTTTTTATAAATTGACTTTGACAGTTATACAATACAAAACCTACTCCAAGACAACACACCAAAAGTTCACGACACAATTACTATAATATACTTACACCCTTTTTTCGGAGACTCCCTCTTACCCAGACAACACTCGGCAAAAGTATCTCTTTAACCGGACAATTTCCACATCAGTTTAACCGGACTGGATCGGTAGGAAGTAGGCAGTAATGAAACTAACTTCTTTCGTAGAAAAGGATTGGGAGCAGTGATCACGTATCTAAATACAACAATCTCCTAATTTTAAGTGAATAATTGGGTTGGTTATTGAGTGATTCAGGAGACCAGGGGTGCCCAGAGGGGGGGTACCGTGGCGCGTTTGCGCCACAGGAATTTTTGGGGGGGACTTTTTTAAAGGGATTTTGGGGGGGATATTTAATTTTTGCTAGCTGTCATGATGGCTGTATAGTTTTGTACAAGCAGTCCGAAAAAGTGTTTCTCACTAAAAGTAGCTCACTATCTACAACAACAACATTTTGCCGTTCGTAATTAAGATTGCTTCTAAGAATGGTAAAGCACCTTGTCAGACAATCCTTAACATGCCAGTGTCGAATTATACATGCTACATATGTTTTGTTGGTTCTTTAACTCCAGCATAGTCAGGATTTACAAAAGATCCCCTTCTGGAGGTGTCGTCAGAATACGTTACAAACATTTAACACAAAACACGAAATGATTACAGATAGGCCTATCACGCGTGTACATTGCCGTCGGCAAGACTGGAAGTAAACTGAATCGGGTTCAGGTTATGACGGAGACGGACCGACGTGGTCTCTGGATTGTCGTCTGCGTTGTTAACAGCTGATATTGGACTATTGTAGTGACTGAGAATTAAGAGTATTGAAAATATAATGGGATATAAAAATTTTGTGCTGTCCCAATTTTATGAATTCATATATTTCAAACTCCTCAAAGTATTTAATAAATTTCCTTTCGTGCAGTACTGTAGAATTTCGAGACCATCATTTATATCCAGCATATAAATTGGTTATTATTGTCAATAGTTTTGAATGGAAAACTCAATTATGAATCCCATTATATTTTCAACATACTTTCCTCCGTCACTACAATTAGCCCAATATCAGCTTTTGATAACTTAGACGACAATCCAGAGACCACGTCTTTCCGTCATAATCTGATTCAGTTTACTTCCAGTCCTGCCCGCGGCAATATACACGCGAGAATTGATAGGCCTATCTGTTATCGTTTCGTGTTTTGTGTACAAACGGATTGTCTGACAAGATGCGTTCCTACCATTTTAGTCATAAAAGGCAATCCTGGGGCTATAAAAATGAATTATAAGATTACTTCGTCACAAAAACCTTTTGTTCTAAAGGCATGGTATTTTGCCCGGCGATTTTTGTAGAAGGCAGCCTGCAGTGGCGAGCAACAATAGTCTGACTTATTTCGTGACTCTGCCTATAATTTTGAAACAATTAAGATATTTTTTGCCAGTATTATTAATACACTTAAAGCTGTTTGAACTCTTAAGCCCTCTAAACATTAATGCCACCTAATATATTGTACAGTTACAGTACTGTGTTGGAGTAGAGTAATTCACCGAGTATATTGTTGAACGTGTTGAAGACTTTGTTTATTGCAATGCTGAGCACATGTTGGCTGACAATACAAATTCGGAATTTTGTAAATTGAAAAACTTCTAATTCAACCATTAGTTAGATATGTATTGTTAAATGACGTTTCCTATTAAACATTTAATTTTGATTCTCAATCAGCAAGTTTGTTTTTTGTACCTCAAGTTTACTAAATACTTTAAATACTCGTTTTATGAGGTAAAGGGAAAATTGTCAGATAAATTGGTGGGGGGAGGGTAGGTTTAAATAGACGACAACATAAATTGGGGGACTACTCCTTTGGCTTGGGGGGGGGGGGATTGCGCCTCTGGGTTTAGGGGGGATGGGCACCTCTGCAGGAGACGTTGGTTTAGCCAGAAAACCTGGTAACCGGACTGGCCTCCAGAGCAGAGTAAGTCCGGAAAGAGGGAGTCCATTGTAGAAGAATATGAATATAGGTAGAATTGTTAGGAGATATAATGCTATGGAAGTATTTGTACCACGGCACTTCATAAGAAGTGATAAAAGCATTAAAAGCTCGGTAGTTCCATCTACCGAGTGCCACAACAAGTTTACAGTCCTCTCCAAAGAGAGTGATGAAACCTCAACAAACAAAAACAACAGCGTACCAGAACAATACGTGTCTGATGCACAAATTTTACATGAGAAAACGCCTGCATTCCAGTCTAATACTAGACCAAAGAAAAATAAGCCAGTTGTTTATAAACAACTAAAATGTAAATCTAAACTACTGATATTGGCTGATAGCCATGGTCGAGGTCTGAGCAATCTTGTGCAGTATAAAACTAACTTAAATGTGTCTGCAATGGTAAAACCGGGAGCACTATTAGCTGACGTTATAAAGGATGTTAAGGACCTTTCAAAAGATTTTAATAAAAATGACTTTATTCTGGTGATTGGTGGGACCAATGATGTGGAAACCCGAAGAATGGAGAGTCTGATGAGCGACTTTGATAATTTGCTGTTAGGTACCACAAACACAAACCTTGTTTTTGCCTCACTGCCTATGCGCCACGACAAACCGAGATTAGACAACAAAATCAGTGACATAAATGATAAGCTAATTGCAAAAATGAATTGCTCAAAGGGGAACAATAAACTGCTAGAACTTCATCTTTTGCCTCGTCACCTATACACGAACCATGGTCTACACTTCAACAAGAAGGGCAAAAGGAAGATTGCTGAAGAAATTCTAAAATCACTCCAGGACTGCTGCTTCAATCCATCCACAGTCAACAAACAGAAGATGAGACTACCCTCTGACGATGACCCTGTCATTGTTGTCGAAGCAGACATGAATGCCGCAATACACAAGCTAGGAGATGAAGAAGAGGTAGCTTTTGTTCACTGTATCTCTGCTGACGTTGACAGTGACAGGCACATGAGTGCAGGTGTAGCGACAGCATTTAAAAAACATTTCAAGAAACCCTTAACAACAGATTTTGTACACTCACACCTAACTTATCAAAAAATTAACAAAGTTTCAGTATATGGATTAGTAACCAAACCTAAATATTACAGTAAACCAGACATCAGGGATTATGACAAAGCTTTTGATTCTCTGGAACAGGACGTAAGACAGAAAGGCCAAAAGTTAATAGTTTGTTCACCAGCGGGCTGTGTCAGGGATAATGTTCCTGTCGAGCACATGGTAACCAGAATATGCCAGCTGCAACAAAGGACAAATGCCAAAGTGATCATAGTAGTGAATGATGAGAACTCTTCCAGAACTCTCCGAAGTGGGCTTTCTTACAATGATTTTGTAAATAAAATAAAACTTAACATCTTTAATGCCATGAACAAAACCGATGAGTCAGGAAGTGGTGCTTCAGCAGACATCACGGTCAACACAACTGAAGGTGTGACAACAACCTCTACTGACAAAATGTCTTTTGATAAAAGTAGTACCTGTAGTGTAGATACTAATGTAAATAGTAGTGATCTTCAAAAAAACTTAACGTCAGCAACCCAAGTGTATGTAACTTAGCTTTAGATAAACGTGTAAATAAGCCAAAACAATTAAAAAATGTAAAGTTTAATGTAAAATATAAAAAAAATATTCTAAAAAAATGTTTGTTAACTCACTTAAATATTCAGGGATCAAGTTTAAGTAAATTTGTTGTCTTGAAAGTTACTTTAGATCATTTAAAACTTGAACCAGAAATTGTTTGTTTGTCAGAACATTGGATGGATACAAATGATGTTCATTTGCCTAACTGTTTTTCCTCCTATAAGCTAGCCTCAGTTTACCACAGAAATGTAAAAAGTAGGGGAGGGGTATGTATTTTTGCAAAAAATAATATCACTTTTAAAGAAAGGAAAGATATTGATTCTATGGCAATTGAAGAAGCTTTTGAATGCACTGCTATTGAAACAATGAGTAATGAAAAGTCAACCAAAACAATATACATTGTAATTTACAGGACTCCGAATGACCAAAACCTAAAGATTTTTTTCTCAAGCTTTGAAAAACTATTACAGCACCTTGAGGCAGAACAACATTTGTGTCCAATATACATAAGTGGGGATTTTAATATAGACATGCAAATTGATGATGAAAAATGTGTTAGGTTTAAAACTTTGTTTCAGTCTTTTGGGTACAATGCCATGATCAAGGAGTATACTCGAATAACACCAACTACAGCCACTTGTATTGATAATGTAATTTCAAATGTAAATAGTATTGATAAGGTTTGTGAAGTAGTGGACTTTGGGATATCTGACCACTTAGGTCAGGTAATTTGTCAAAGAAATGAAATAAGGCCTAACCAATGTAAAAAATACTTGTCGAAGCGGGTCATAAGGAAGGAAAACGTTCTTGGTATGTTAAACGGTCTGATTGAAGAGAACTGGACTAATTGCATGTCAAACCTTAGTTCTAATGGTAGTTTCAATAATTTCTTTGGAATATTCTATGATTCTTTTTTGAATAATTGCCCAATTAAACAGAAATCTCTGTCAACAAATGGGAGAAATAATCAATGGGTAACAAAAGGTATTAGAATATCCAGTAAAAGAAAATGGGAGCTTTATAAAATTTCTAGAAATAATACAAATCCTGTTTTCTTAGAATACTTTAAAAATTACAAGAAGGTTTTTAAGAAAGTAATTTGGGCAGCCAAAATGAGGTACAACTTAAATTTGTTAGAGAATAGTGATAATGTAGGTAAAACAACATGGAGCATTGTAAAGAGAGAAATCGGTACAAATTGTAAAACAGAACCTTGTCTAGGAATCAAAATTAATGGGGAGGTTATTGACGACCCTATAAAAGTAGCTGATTGCATGAACCATCACTTCATTGGTGTAGCAAATAAGTTTCAGTCCCAGGTTTCGGTGGCAGATTCAATAGCCAAAGCAAAAATGGCAACTCTAAATGTCCCACATGCATTTGAATTTAAGATTGTCTCTGAATCCGATGTTATCTCCTGCATCAATCGATTAAAGAATAAAAGTTCAACTGGCTGGGATGAAATTCCTACAAATGTAATAAAATCATTGGCTTCTTCAATTATAAAACCACTCACTCATTCTATCAACATTTCACTGCTGACAGGAGTCTTCCCCGACAAATTGAAGTATGCTAAAATTATACCTATATTTAAAAAGGGGGACTCGGAAGAAATTTCAAACTACCGACCAGTGGCTCTCTTACCTGTGTTTTCAAAAATATTTGAAGAGGTTGTTCTCTCACAAATTGTTCCATTTCTTGAATCAAACAATTTATTGAACAAGAATCAATTTGGTTTTCGGAGGGAGAGAAGCACGTCTGATGCAATAGTCGATCTAGTTTCTGAGGCAGTGGAGGCCTTGGACGGATCACAGAGAACCTTTGGTGTTTTCTGTGATTTGTCTAAGGCCTTTGATTGTGTCAGGCATGACATTCTCTTGGAGAAATTGAGATTGTATGGGATATCTGGATCATCTTTTTCATGGTTTTCTAGTTACATCACTAACAGATATCAGCAGGTTGTCATCAAAGATAAATCCGGTGTCAAACATTTTTCTGAATGGAGCTCAGTAACCCATGGTGTTCCGCAGGGATCTAAATTGGGGCCTCTTCTGTTCATCCTCTACATCAATGACTTGTCTTTTTCAATTTCTTCCAAAATTATTCAATTCGCTGATGACACAACAATGCTAGTAAGAGCACCTTCTATTTTTTCTGCAACTAACATTGCATCCCGAGATTTAGATTCCATGATAACTTGGTTTGCACAAAACGGACTACATCTAAACTGTTCCAAAACTCATCTTCTTCATTTCCATAATCCACAACTGAAGGCAGGTGAGATAACAATCAAACTAAAATCAGGTGATTCCATAAAATCTTCTGCAAATACTAAATTCCTGTGTGTAAACATAAATGAAAATCTAAAATGGTCTGATCATCAAATACAAATTAGCTTGTCTCTAGCAAAAGCACTGTTTGGTCTAAGGGTGGTTTATAAGTCTTCGGGTTTGCATGCAGCTCTTGCTGTGTATCATTCTTATTTTATGTCTAGGTCTTCCTATGGTATTATCTCATGGGGCAGCTCCCCCATTACCAAGAATATTTTTATCTTACAAAAAATTGCCGTTAGAATTTTAGCTGATACCAGACCACGTTCCTCTTGCCGCCCCCTTTTTATTCAGATGAAACTCTTGACAATTTATGCAGTTTATATTTTTCAACTGTGCATCTTTGTAAAAAGAAATTATAAGGAATTTATGTTGAAAAATTACACTCATCAATATAACACCCGACACAGGAATGATCTTCAATATCCTGTGCATAGAACAGCTCTGTATGAAGGATCGCCATGGTACATGGGTAGGAAAATTTACAATAACCTCCCAGATCAAATTAAAACTGAAGAAAATATGTCATCCTTTAAAAGAAAACTAAAATCTTATCTCATTCTCTTGTGTCCTTATTCCCTAGATGATTTTATAAAAACTTAGCTTTAGGTTTTATGGATTGATAAAAACAAAGAATTTAGCATAAGGTATTATTAGATTGTAAAGTGGTATTGACATGTCATATGTTTATATGTGAAAATCACAATCTTGTAAACTTATGTGACGAATAAACATTTCATTTCATTTATTCATCATTCTGAAGAATCCCCCTTGAAGGAGCAAAACATAAATCATTGTGTTTTGAACTATCAATGTGTACTATCAATGGCCTGGAACTATTTTCTTGGGTAATTTAGTTTTGTAAAAGTACCTTATTCCTTAATTTATTTTATTCCTAAGACATAAATTATTGTCATTCTTTATGACAATAACATTCATTACGTTCAACATTGGTTGAACATATTTTTGTACATTTCTCAAGTGCACAATTTCTGTTTCCATACATATCCAGTAGTATTTAATCATTTTTGTACTTGCAGGACGGTGTGGTAAAATGTGAGCGACGGAGACATCATTGAACCTACGATCTGATCGTCACTGTTTCTCGCTTGCCATCGCTCCGTGTGATGTTACCTACGCTCGGCTCCGACCCGACGGTCCCTTTGAACTTATGTATTCGAACAATGGCTGCTACAGCTTATCTATAGATATGTAATAACACCTAGCAATAAATTATTGTAATTATAGAAATATGACGTATAAGACTGATGTTATTAACTATGTAAGTTATTCGTACTCTATGTCTACTTAGTGCTAATTGTGTCAATTTGCCATGGTCTGTCATTATTTTTGTCTAAATGTTCTAATAGATTAAGATTATCGATAAGAAAACAATAATTAAAATTTCTTTTGTATTTGTGTACAGTAAATCCGCCCTTGAAATTTTAAATTAACTTTTTAGCTAATTTTAACCACCATTATTCAGAATTGGAATGATTATGAATTTTTACAAACTAGCTTTTTGTTTAGCCTACAAATATTGCTTTTACAAATAATTTACCGATTATTATGTTTTCAGAAATAAAGCTACAGTATTTATTTTACTTCCGCCCCAGGTATGTACACAGATACAGCAAAGAAAAGTTCCTAGCGCACATGAATTTTATGAAAGTGGAGTCCAAAATTTACCGTAATCATTCCCCTCCACTGCGACTTTTATGAGTATTTTTTCACCTTAAGCAACCAATAAATTTATTTTTCTGAACCCTTACTGTACATAAACGGTATTTTTTCGCATTAACAAGTCCTGTATTTATTAAGATTGTATGTATGTCTTGTGCTATAATGTAAATAATTATGTTGAGTATTCGTCGTCTTGTGAGTAGAGCTAACTCGAGGAATATATTATGTTTAGTTACCAGATTTTGTTAAGGAAAAGGACTTATCAAATAAATTATGAAGTGTGCCTTTTAATGGAGATTGCCAAATTAATAAAGTTTCATATCATAGACATATCAAAGTACTTTCTATAATAGTAGTTTGCATCACTAGAACCAAAAGTGGCTCTTTTTAGTACGCAATCGTGTTTTACAAGTGAGGCGCAGCCAAGCTTGGAAATACGATTAAATACCAAAAAGACACTTTCGCTCTGTATGATGAACAACTAACATCATACTCTGGAAATAACCTTCTAATCGTAAAATCATCTAATCGTCTGAACCACATAATTTGAGGATAGACAAAGCCGTCATCAATGTTTACATTTCTGTTGTTTGTAAACATAACTTAAAGTATCTTTTGATTAGCAGCGTTTCCAAAATGTACTAATACAATTTTAAGGTTAGAAAACCGAAAAATTTACCATAGATATTTTTGATTTGTTTCCTAATTTAAGTTACCCGAAAACGATGATTTTGCGGACAATTTAGAGAACTAAAAACAGCTGTTTTCCTTTGAATATATGACAAGTAAATTATTATTATCTGGTAGTATGTAACGTCATAGATAAAACATACCTACTCCCGTTTACATTGTTAAATTATTACAATGTTCCAGTGAAATCAACTTTGAAAATTTAAAAAGGCTAAATTTTGAAACTAACTTATGTCATATTTTGACTTTTCTGTTAAAATGATGCCATGTGTATGATTATAGTTGTAAAGAATTAAAAAAAAAACTCCAATCACAATTAACAGTAAGTTTCTTTTCATGGTTTTAGTGATATGCTGAGTTTTGAGCATTTTAAAACACCCAAATTATCCTCATTTACCCTCATTGTTGTTGAGTTAATCCTCATTGTACTCTCACTGAATACTTTTTTTAAATTTATTGCAAGAACTTTTAAGCAAAAGAAGAAAATCGTTTGGTAAACTATCAATATTTTAGACAATAGTAGATTTTTTATGAATACCTACCTAGTATTTCAGCACTCTACTGAACAAATGGCATGATTCAATTAGGTTTTAAAGGTTTTGAGATTTTAATGAAAGGTGTGTATTCATACAAATACAAATTGTAAACTATGTGTGAATACTACTTGATGGGTAATTCCTTGTCCAGTATTAATGACTGTAAGATTTGTGAGATGTGTTCTTTTTGTAATGAACTTTGTTAAAAATAAACAGTAACAAAAATAATTTGGGAATTTGTTTTATACTCTTTTGTAGTTTTTCCATTTTAGCAAATCATGATGGTCCTCTTCTATGTTTTTATTTGTCTAAAATAACTTTTTTTTTATTTAATTAGACTAACTAAACTACTGTATTTTGTACTTGTATAGAAAAGATGGTTATTTCCTCAAGGACATTTCCCCCCTGCATTTTAATTATTTCTATGGATCCCTTTTAAAGATCCAGTGTTGCCAAAAAAACTTTCTTAATAAAGGTTTAAATATGAATTGTAATCTAATAGCAGATCCTTCAGTTGAATGTTTAACCACAGTCATAGGCTGTAAACAAGAGGCTGACAAAACAGTTTATGTAAATGGATTTTAAATAGTCTACTTTTATGATGATTGCAGCCTGATTGAGGTAGGTAAATCACTCTTCAGTTTTTATGGTATAGATCAAGATATGAAAAGTAATAAAGGATAGTGGATTATTATTTTTGACTTGGAATTTAGTTTTGAACACTATTAAAATGTGTAAACCAAATAGGTCCCCTTATTTCAATTTATTCCTTTTAACATTACAATGTTTTTATTAGATTCCCACCAGTGGAGTATACAGGGAGGGGGGCTACCAAGGCAACACTTGCCTTGGTAGCCCCCCTCCCCCCCAAATTATTTTTATATCAGGGATGTGTTGTTTATTGATACCAATTCTCCAAACCACCGATACTTGGACATTGGTAAATTATCGGTGTTGAGAATCGGTTGTCAAAAGTAGATTTCGAAACCGATACCAAATACTTTTGCGACAATCGTAAAATTACCGCAATCGCGCAAGATTACGATGTTGTCTGCACTGCCGCAGGAGGTGATCAGAATACTGCCGAGAGCGAGGAAGACTATGATGATGTTTCCGTTCCGGGGGAGATATTATTTTGCCATTTCCGTGGAAGACAATGACAATGTCTTCATGGACACGGGAAAAGAGGCCTATCAACATTTTTTCGTGATTGGGGGAGACGATTATGATGCCTACATGATCGCGAGAAATTATCAGAATTTTGCTGCAATCGTGGAAGACTAGGATAATTTCCACATGACCGTGGGGGGCTGTAGATATTCTTCATTTTTCCATGTTCGCGGGAGGCTTCGATAACATTTTCGAGACCTCCGGAGATGATGATGGTTAATGTCTGCACAGCTGCAGTAAATGATAGGAATTTTGCGGTGATCACGAAAGACGTAACGATAATGTCCACGTGACCGCGGGAGTTGATCAGAAATTTGCCGTGATCGCGGAAGACTATGATGATGTTTCCGTTCTGAGAGGGATATATTCATTCATTATTTTGCCCTGACCGTGGGAGACATTGACGATGTCTTCATGGACGTGTAAAATGATCAAATGTTTTTGTGATTGGGGGAGATGATTATGATGTCCACACCGAGACGACCAGTGATAGTGATGTCCACATGGCTGTGGGAGATGAACAGACGAATTTTGCCACAATTAGCGGATGATTACGATAATTTCCACATGACCATAGGGGTTAGAGATATTCGTGATTTTCCACGATCTTGGGAGACATCGATAACGTTTTTGTGACCCACTGGAAATGATGATGGTAATTCCATTACTGAGGAAGATATTCAGGATTTTGCAGTGATCCCAGAATACGACAAAGCACCACTGCGGAAGATGATATTGCTCAGATGATTTCTGAACAGTTAAAGGTAACTTTAGTACATTTATTCTCTGCATTAGAGCCTTTAGAGGTGTTTTAAACCTCATTTTAGAACCTTAGAATGCCAAAATTTCCTGGAGGTTTGCCCCCCCCCCCTCATCCCCGAAACGATATCCTGGCTATGCCACTGATTTCCACAAAAACTAGAAGAGCTAAACCTATTCCACCTCCGACTGGATTAAATTATGATATAAAAATTAGCCTAATACCTGAACAGAATAAGGCTTCACTAAAGAATTACCAACATACATCTTAAGACAAGAGTTAAGCATTTACAAACAGTCAATAAATAAACAAAATAAATAACATGTGATTAAAAATGTATAACGAAGATTGATAAAAAAATTATGATTAAACTACGATCACGGGAGATATCGACAAAGTCTATCTACGACCTTAAAGATGTTCACGATTTCTCCCAACAACGTAGTAAGGTAACAGGTAACAGTAACGTTCACGATTTCGCCGCAGAAGACGATCCGTCATGATCTCCGCATTAATGCCAGATGTTCACTTTTCGCCACGAACTGAACTACAGTATACAGTACAAAAACTTAGGCCTACTACCGTACTTCGCTGTGAACGTGAACGATCGCGAAAGATTACCTCGATTTCGTTTGCTACCGCGCGAACCGCGGCAGACGAAGCAGATGATGACAGTTAATCCAAACGCAAGACGTACCGGTATACACAATATTTCGTCGTAATTGCAGGAGAGTACTACTCTCCTGATGATGAACTAGTTGTCCGCGATCGCGAGCCGCGAGTGTCGATGATTATTTCAACGCAATCCCAAAAGACGCTCACGATTTCATCGCGACCGGAGGACATTTCGTTCATTTTCAATTTCTTTTCTTATTCAAGAGTTTCTAGATCATTGGACCGTCGTAAACAAAAACAAAGGATCAAGTTAGTTTGATTTGGAACAAAACCACGCACTCGTATAGTATTAAATCCCCTAAGGGCTCTAGCCGTAACAAACAGAAGTGGACTTCTCACCCCATTGTAAATTTTGAAGCTCATTCGTTTTTCGTGTCTAGTCCATGTACGTCGACGCAATGATTGCTAGTGTGGACGAAATTTTGTTTATATTATTTTAGCGTTATTTTCATGATTTGTGCTTTACTGTTTGGTTTTGGCTCGGAGACCAGTTATTTGCTTTTGAGTAGATAGTTTTATTTGGTTAAACGAGGTTTTAATTTTCAAATAACGAAAAACAAATTGTAAACAAAACACAACCTCTACAGTGCAACGTACAGAACCAATAAAATAAAATAAAATTCCAATAAAATTGGCATTAGCTGTTCCGATAGTAGGTATTTTAAGCCAAGTATGAATTGAATGGAGATGAGTGTAGGATGAGTGGCACGATCTTTTAGTCTTGTTAGTGACTAAGGCCAACTTATTCCTTAGACACAGCTGTTAATTAATCACCCATACATCTAATCACTAGATGAAACCATAGATAAAACATACTCCCTTAGTAGATTTCTCATCCTTATGGAACAGCTGAAGACAATTTTATTGTTAGTTCATGTACGGTTTATGTAGAGGTCGTGTTTTGTTTACAATTTGTTTCCCGTTATTACAGCCATTTAAAACCTCGTTTAACCAAATAATACGATCTAATCATAAACAATAACTTGTCCCCTAGTTATATAACCAAACAGTAAAGCACAAATCAAGAAATTAACCCTAAAATAATGGAAACAAAGTTTCATCGACACTAGCGCCTTTGTGTCACGTACATGAACTAGACACGAAAAACGTGCTTCAAAATTTACAATGGGATGAGAAGTCTACTTGTGTTGGTTAGTCTATGATGAAACGTCTAAAAACACTCAGTCAAGTTGTTTCCATCTATCGTAATCAGAATTCAGAATTGGTACGTTAATGTAAACAAACATCAACTAATTTTAATAATTAATTGATTGCCGACTTTAATATTAGCTGAAACAGTTTCAATGACATCGAGCTGTAGTTTTATATTAATGACTTATATTTGCTGAAAACTCACTTTTAAAAATATAAAAATAAATTAGATGAATTACATAAGTTACCATTTGTCCAATCAATATAATTAATTGGTTACATGATCATACGTATGTGATCATTATTATGATAGATTTTGTTTAACTTTTTTGTTTTCCAGCCTGGAAATTGTTCTTGTCATATTTTTGTTGTTGTTCAGCTGACTGTTGATGTTTCAGATTCGCGGTCGCAATGGGGGGAGGACTCGTAGTAGGACGATGATGTCATTAATTAGTTCAAATTTGTTCCACGGGCAGCACTCTAGTCAGGCTCAGGCAGCCGACACCGTTATGACGATGACGTCATCACCCTTACCTTACTTTTGTTTACATCGGTGCAGCAGTCCAGCAGAAGACAATAGTATTGTTTATTTATTTTTATTGTAAGATTACAGTTACCACTGACACTAACTTATTATTTGCTACTTATTAATTAGTTATAACGTCATAACTTAGTTCATAGTTTGATTTAGTATGAATTAATTAATTTATTACTTAGGGTATCAGAACTTCATTCATACTACCTCCGCAACACACATACACATAAGTTAACGTAGACTTGCCACAACATCGAATGCAGAAATTCAAAAACAGGCCTACTATTCTGGCTCTTCTTCAATTTATTACCACCACAACTCAAACAAAACCATAAAAAAAACCTTTCACCTTCAATAGCAAACTGAAGCAATTCTAATTACTAACAGATAGGCCATACTAGGCTACACAGTCCCCGACTTCATTGAAGAGCACACCTGAGACATGAATAGAATAATCGGCGTGAAACTTTAGGCCTACAAACCCATTTTTACCCTGGTCCCAGGAAGAAAATGGGACGATTCCCTGATCCCTGGATTGTGGAGAAGACACCGGATGGTAAACGGTATTTAGAACTTTCAGCCTCCGTCATCTTGTAAGTTAAATCTAGTTTTAATTAATAAATAAATAGGAGTAGGCTAAGATCAAGATCGAGAACCGCTTGTTGCCTGTCGGGTTAGTCGTTCGTTTTATTTTTCTCTCTCAGCACCAATGTATTAAATCATCTTAAGTGATTGGCAGGAACAGGTTTAAGTTAGGCTAGATATAAGTTTATCCCCTTTTGCTTTTGTTTCGGCCTGACCGTACTTTAAGAGGACGAAGTGAATTCATTCTTCTTCATCCTATAGCTCGGCCGCTTAGAAAACGACCTGCGCGCTAATGCTAAACCAATGCTGGAGGAGGTCGTTTTCTAAGCGGCCGAGCTATAGGCCTAAGTATACACCGTAATTGTACGTATGGTAACTTAAACGCTCTAAAGAAAATTTCCATTAGGACATTTAACAAAATGCATTGACAAATTCATAAATTGGCTACGGTATAGGCCTGGATGATTTAAAAAATTTTTATTACCAAATTCAAACTTGTTCATCAATTTTTATGACAGATGGTTTAAAATGGTCTTCAGTGCCGTAACTTATTTTTTAAAAGTTTTTAGCAAATTTCCCTATAAACCTAGGGAAGTAAGTTAGCTATTAATGTAGGTGGCACAGACCTAGGCCCAGGACCGAATCAGCCTACTTTTTCATTTTGATGCCCCCATTTGTTTAAATTTTTATATACCGGTATGTATACTAGCAGTTACCTGGTGCGCATTGCTGCGCTAACAACTATTATTTTTAATCGTAATTTGTTTCTTCACGATAAATCATAAAAATTTAGGCTATAGGCCTAGCTAAAAAAATAATAGAATAGGCCTACTTATTTTACTTAGCCTACTTAATAGCCTATGGATAAACAATGTTTTTTGTTTTTTCACTGGGCGTATAAGTTAAATATATTTTATGAGTACCTAACACCATGTGAGTGGTGTTAATACCATGCAACAGACAGCTCCATATGTGAAAAGCATGCATTTTAAAATTTAAACTGCTAGTCAGCGATTGCCCTGGTGCCTTATAATGGTGATTGCAAAAGCAAGATGCAAAGGAAATTGTAGTCGCTTGAATTCGAAGGGTAGGCTAATTCGGATTCATCGGTAGGTATTCTTGGGATTAGGCCTATACGACTATTTCTTCTTTAAATTTATCACTGTCCACTAATGATTGTTGCTTCGATCAAGTTTGGTGTAATTTTTTAATCGTCAGTCTGGTTCCGTTGCAAACCTTGGGTGGTTTTAAGTTTGACAGTAATGTGGTGACTTAATGACAAATTCTGAGGCATTTGAATACCTCAATATTATTTGCTACTTATGTATAGTTCATAGTTTGACAAAATTCTATTAATGGAGAGACCGTTGGAATAAATGAATAAATAAATAAATACCTGAGATAGCATGCACAGTTATTATTCAATTAATAATTTATGTTAGGTTGTGTGGGTATATAACAAAAGATAAAAATATTAAGACATTGCCATCCGTTATTGTTACTTTGATAAAGGTTTTTACATTTTATCTATATATATAAAAGGCAAAGCCCTCACTGACTGACTGACTGACTGACTGACTCACTCACTCATCACTAATTCTCCCACTTCCCAATTACCTAGGAGGCTGAAATTTGGTACACTGATTCTTTGGGCATTAAATAGGAAAACTAAGCTGTTTTTATTCTGATCGGACTCTCGGGCTCCGCCCCAGTGGCTCTGGAGTTTCCCATGTTAACCTTATGATTTTTCATATTTAAAAGGAATTAATGAATCTTAACAGCTGTTTCAATTAAATAAGTTGGTTCTGTTCTATGATGTTCAATAGCATTAAAGTTACAAGGATTACCAACAGGGTGCAGCACTATTATTTTTTTAATTTATGACGCAGCTAATGTGCAACCAAAAGCTGAGTGAGCGTAGCGAACGAACTTCAACCTGGAGGTGAGTTAGCGTAGCGAACGAGCTAACCTGAAGGCGAGTGAGCGCAGCGAACGAACTTCAAACAGGACGTGATTGTTGAGCCAGGAGAACGAGCTCATCTTGAAAATTAAGAAGTTTAACGGGGCAAAGCCCGCGGGTACAGCTAGTGTTTACATATAGTGGAGAATGTTGTTTTAAATGTTGTTGAGTACACAAGTGTACTGCGATTGGGATTTAATATATTTGGACTCATCCAAAAGTAAAATAGTTTTCTGTGCTGCATTCTGTGGAAACAGAGTGACACTATTTCAAATCATAACTTAATACAACATTTTGTGACTATTCAAACCTATAAAAGAGTTGGTGAAAGTAAACATTATGCTTTTAAATTATATTTATTTGTAAACATTGTAGTTGCTGAGATTGGACCCCTTAAACTCTCTGGAGCGGAGCCCTTTCAACGGATCTGAAGCAAACTTCACACAAACCATCGTTGAATAATGTCTGAAAGTTCCTGTCGAGCGGTCTTGGAGTCCATAGGGTATATGTATGTATACATACATACTTCCTGTAACTTATATTAGTTAGGCCTGTATCCGTGAGCGTGATAACTTGAGTACCAAATTTTTTAGGCCTTAATATTAACAAACTTTGAGTATTAGGGTAACAATTTATTTACTTTATTAAATGTAACACAATAATAGTAACAAGATTATTTCGGGCCCGGTAATATCAATTGATTTCGCTAGATTTTTATAAATACCCAAAATACCCGGGTAGGCTATTTTATGAATTTTTTTACTTCAATAGGGTCTCAATGAATCCATAGCAATTTTGCCATTAAAATAATAAATTTGACCTTGTGTCAAAGTTTAAATGATACGAGAGGTCGTCCAGTGGTCGAAACTCGACCAAAAATATGTAATGTACTCACTTAACTATTTTCACCCCACACTGTAAATAAAACATGTGATTGGAGTTTCCTCCATTTGTTTTGATTTTCTGTTTATATTTCGTTGTTATTTCGTAACCAGCATAGCAACGCATAAGATCCATGTTAATTTTTTACAACTTTTAAACTTATTTTTTGTGCTTATCTTTGAGCCTATTTAAATTTATAAAGGGATTCTGCACACCTACAGGAAAATAGCTTTCCAACGGTATGCGTAGATTTTCCCTACGATGCACACGAGCTGAGAAAAAAGGTTTTAAAGAAACATGCTTGCCTATTAATATATAGATAGATGCTCTGTAATCTTGTACTATGTGTGTAAAATATGTTATGGTATTACAATATTACTTGATTCATGATGTTTATTGTTACACCAGGGTATTGCTGGAGCTGCCGTCTTTTTACTGTCTTGTAATGCGGAGCCGATTCTAACAGTAGTAAAATTGTTAAAACTTTGTATTGTATTTACTGAAATAAAGACAGTGCTTCATACAAACTTTCTTGTTATAATTTCCTCTTAATATTTTTTTCCTATCCAATTCCATCTAAACTGTTTGGATGAAATCGGACAGAACTAAAATAGTCCTGAATTTTCCCTTTAAAAAATCTATTTGTATAAGGCATAGTATTACACCGCCAAAAGATTATTTGTTAGTAAGTTTACCTTGGAATTGTGAGCTACTATGATCTTCACATTTTACCCTTACCTTCATCGTTGCCCAGCCATAGCTGGATAGATTGCGTTATAAAAAATTAAAACTTTGACTATATACAAGGCGGTGGATCATGATTTCCAAACTGAGTCAGAGGTTTCAAAAAATTACTTGAGAGTAAAGGCGCCTAGTCTTCAACTCCCTAGACATGTGCGCTATGAACGCTTTAACTGGTAGGCTTCTGGTTTCAACACTGAGATTATTGTACAGCTTTATGGCCAGAGTGGGGAAACTATTTGCTGTCTTACTGAGCCGATGGGATGGGAAGATCAAGTTGTTACGAGTATTGCAGCTTTGAAGGTCACCCCTGAAGCTAAAATCAACTAAGTTTTTCTTCATGTGTACAACACTGTTTGAGACGTACTGGCTGATCAATGTCATAACTCCCAGACACGTGAAAAAGAGGTCTACAGTGGGCGTCAGCTTTGCTAGACGTTACAATTCTGAGTGCCTTCTTATGGAGTCTGAAGAATCTTTTAGACCAGGCACATGAGCCCACAACTGCACAGTGACGCATAAGCCTGGAACTATTCTTAAGGGTGCCCGCATAGGGTTAGAGGTGTCTTCGCTTAGTGAAAGAGGCCTACCGCCGTTTCACTTTCAGACAGTCTTCTACTGCCTTGCAAAAAATACATTTTTGCTGTCCCGCATTTTAATTTGAATGGTAGTATAGGTAGGTAAATCAAAAGCCCTTGGAGAAACTTCTTTGAAACTTCTATATACTTTAATTTTACAGCTATTATCTTCCAAAAAATACTTTTTATCAGACTTAACACACACACTTATGTGAACATTTCATGTGGTGGATATTTAAATCCAGGCAGTTTTCATTGAATTTGACTTTGAATACAAATTATTTTTAGAAAATTCTAATACTGCAGTCAGAAACTCAAAAGTATATAGGCCTACCAAGATTTATAAAAATACCTTTAAAACTTTTGAATTATTAATAATTTAAAAAAAATGGAAAACTACAGCCAAACTAAAAAATTTTGTTCAACATGTTTGACTCATTTTTGCTTTTAAAATATGAATTTGTATAGCCGTATCTTTGAAACACCCTTTATATTTATTGTTTAATAGTTTGCAAAACATGCTAGTTATTGTGTGTACAACAATTTTGAGCATAATGAAAGCACAAATAATAAATTCAAATACTGTATGATAACAATAAAGTCAGATTTTATTGTAATGTAAGTACTGGAGTAAAGAACACATTTAATACAGACACCACTAAAATCATTTGTCGTACAATAACAATAAATATTTACACATTGACTCCAATCCTGTAGTAGTAAACCGACTATTACATCTATTATTCACCTTAATATTACTAGAATTAATATTAACCTTAATATTACTACTTTTCACATTTACAACAGGACGGCACAAATTAAAATCTGAAATTAAAACCCTAAGAATTAAGAAAAAATGTAAAAGCTAAGTTAATGTCATTAATAGAATACAAAGTAGACCAATCGATATTTACACATTGACTCCAATTCTGTAGTAGTAAACCGACTATTACATCTATTATTCACCTTAATATTACTAGAATTAATATTAACCTTAATATTACTACTTTTCACATTTACAACAGGACGGCACAAATTAAAATCTGAAATTAAAACCCTAAGAATTAAGCAAAATGTAAAAGCTAAGTTAATGTCATTAATAGAATACAAGGTAGACCAATCGATATTTACACATTGACTCCAATTCTGTAGTAGTAAACCGACTATTACATCTATTATTCACCTTAATATTACTAGAATTAATATTAACCTTAATATTACTACTTTTCACATTTACAACAGGACGGCACAAATTAAAATCTGAAATTAAAACCCTAAGAATTAAGAAAAAATGTAAAAGCTAAGTTTATGTCATTAATAGAATACAAGGTAGACCAATCGATATTACGATATTACTTAACCTATTGACAACATTTTCAAGTCTTGTTGGTGGTACAATGCTTCCTATAGTAAGAATCCTCTTTGTTATCTAAGCAACCGTTATTCTTATTTTTACCAATCAAGAATTTTAAAACCACTCCAACATGATCTGATATTATTACCTCCCCAGTAATGGAACAGTGAACAGTGAAGCAAGGCTTGATTGTTGACATTTATTAGTGAAAATATTGCCTAAACAAGCAGTTTTTCTGGTTGGTTTGATATTGTTTGGGAACAATTCAAATTATCTTAAATTCAAAAAATGCTTTCGCTCTTTATAATGAACTTTTAAGATCTTTATATTGAAATAACCAGCCAGGGAGATGTACTTGAAAAACTTATGCTGAAAAGAAACAAATAATATAACATCTTCCAATATCAATGGAACTCTATAAAGCTTGAATCAGGGGTGCGATAAACAGATAAAAATAATAAGTTATAATCCAACAATCAAACTGCTCATACCTCAAGTAAAAAGTTAAACCTGAAATCAGACAAATCTATTTTTTTTTGTAATTTACACAACGTTGGACATAAATTGCAGTACCTCCATGAATCAGTGGAAATTGACTACAATAATTTGTACCTAATTCCAAATTTTCTGGGACATAAATGTTAATTTCTTCATTACTAAGCCAGTGCTCACTTAAGCATACTATATTTGACAGGGTTTGGTTAAGAATGATTTCAAGATGGTTTAATTTGTTCCTTAACGATTGAATATTTAAAGATAGTATTACAATTTCACTATTTCTTTGCCCTGCTGTGTCTGAAGTCAGCCTAAATTTTTTTTACATTACGTGCTAACTTAGTATTATCTTAACAATTTTGCAGATTTTTTACACCTAAAGTTTTGTTGATGCCGGTTCTTTTAGAGCGTCTCAAGGGTAGTTGAGCAGTTGAAGGTTGTGAATTGTCCGTTGTAACCAGGTCCTTAGGAATGTCATTTGATTTTGTTGTGTTGTTGTTATTGCTGGGACTAGTAGAAAGTTTGCTTAAAATATTGCTTAGAACTGATTGTGTTTCCATCCGCAAACACCCTGAAAATCTGTAAACATTTGAGGAATTAGGATAACCGTATAAGATTATCATACGCAACGGCTATGTAACAACTTCAACTGAGAAAAACTCAAAGTAATTGGCCACAGACTTTTATTTTGTTTATTTTTGAAAACAATCAAATGAGCATTGGCCGATTTTACTGACATCTAACTGATTTTTCACATAATTGGGGGTTATGCCCCTAACCCTAAAATAGGGGTTGCAGGAGTTAAGTTTAGAAACTATATTACTGTATTACTATACTAAAAAAGATAAAAACAATCATGTGCTTGAAAATATTTTGAATGACACCCAGAAACTGCGCCCTAAGCCATGTTTTAGATAGTAGCAACAAAATTGACTGTACTACCGGTACTTGTATTTTTTCCTAATTTGTTGAAAACTTGGGGGAAAATTAGCAAAATGGGTTGAGTGAATGTTATTTGATATTTACTTTAAGGTGTTATAACTGAAACTTAATCTCATTCTATTTAAATAAATAAGTGAAAAAGTGTATATTAGACAAGTAGAGATTTACTCTCTTACTCGTCCATGAATAAAACGTACCTGCTTAAGAACTGTTGATGCTAAGATCTCAATTAATGTATCATCTTCATTCTTATTCTGATTCATTGTCACTGGTTGTCATTTGTAAAAATATTTGCTTCAAGTTCTGGCGCTTTGAAGGTGAAGCCGATCCAAAGGCATCTGTCTTCTGTCTTTTTCTCTTCAACTTTGAAAAAGGTTTCAATTGGGATGCTTGTGTTTTTAGTTTTTCTGTAGAAGTAAATTGGATAGCTGGTACCATATTTGTCTCAGGTACATTTATTTCTTGATTGAGAGCTCTGCATTTATTTAGAAGAGACTTTATTGAAGATGAAACCATGTTTGACACATGTTGTGATAAAGTTCCAGACTTAAACAAATCAACCAATTCGTGCACATTCCTTTCAAACTCTTTTTCATCCCTCTCCCAAAACCTACTCTCTTTTACATTGAGAGGACCTTGTGAAGTGGACTCTGACAACCTCTCAAACACAGAGTTTGATGTAGGCACCTCTCTCATTACTAGTGAGTGGATTTTATGAATATGCTTGCAAAGTTGGTTAAGGTCTTGACAAGAACAGTGGTATAAATGGCTACAAAGATATCTACAAGACATGTTGCCACATTTAAAAAAGCACATGTCTGCATTACAATGACTGGCAATTTTTTTGACACAATATTGACTTGATTGCTTGGTAGAGCTAAACACAGTCCACTCCTTTTCAGGTTTGACCTCTTTGATGTTTGAATCAGGTATCTGAATTCCTTTTCTATGTCTTTCATCATAGACCCTGGTTTTGCTGAAACCCAAAAGATTAACTTTTTTTCTTTCCCAAAAATCATCATTTTCCATTTCAAACAAAATTCGTATTAAGTCGTCTAGCCTTCTATTGGGTTTTCTTTTTAAAACAGATGTTTTCAGCCGGTTGTGAAAGGACTCCACATGCCCTGTGGTGTTGACATTTCCATGAAAAAACTGCCTAAAACATGTGGCCCATTTTTCGATTCTTTCTCTGCTCTGAACAGCTTTCAAAGTATGAGTAAAATTTTGGTGCTTGGTTTTCATAAAGATGTTTGAAAACATTGGTGAGTTTTTCAAACTCTTCGAAATTATTAGTGTCAGAGAGTAACTTTATTAATATATAAATTTCGTCTTGCAGCTCTATGGGGCACATTTTCTTAATATTTTTTTTCCAAATTTTATCCAAATGCCATTTGCACAAAATATGGCGCGTTTGCTC